TATATATATATATATATATGTATATAGTTATAAATTAAACAATACCTAAGATTCATATATTATTGCTGATTAATTGTTTGATCAGAAAGATAAAATAAACATACTACGTGAAAACTTAAAGAAACATCTGAACGTTAAAGCCATTTTATATTTTACAAGACTGAAAATATTTTCTTCCACGAAATAGTCTCTGGGGTATTAAAAAACACACCAAATATCAGAACCACACAATAGTGTCTTGAATAACATTAATGGTATAATTATATAGCTGCTACAGTTAATATATATACATATAAGGTAAGCTATGTTGAATCCGTTAATATGAACGAGAGGCTAATAAAGTTAAGAAGGTTTAAATCACATATACAATTCATATCTGCTAATACTACGCAATCAAATTAACAATCTGACGTTTAAATGAGAAGAAAAGTAGGGGCAAAGAGTTCAAAATCATTAAAAATGGAGTAACCTTTCCAAAATAATTTTCTGATCATTTTATTTATTTATTCATTTATTCGTTTATGAGACATTTTCTATTTGTATTCACAGCGAATTGCTATTTCTCTTGAACTATAACAACCAGCACAAACTTTAATGTTTAGTGAGGGGCCTAATGAACTGAATAGTTGATTCAAAATATATTAATGTTGCGTCAGCGAGTCACATGACCACCGTGACGCAACGTTTCTAGAACTATCATGTACTTTGGCGAATGTTCAATTACTTAATAAAACTGGTTTATTCTTTCTGAATACAACTTTACGATACACTTAATTTCAACAGTCGCTCTATAACAACACTACAATTCACGTCTCACGAGGCCAACAATATTTTGTCCGCATACATTCAATTACTCATTACTCTGTCGTCCCCTCACGTTGTGAACGTCTTATATATATACCAGACTAACATATATCTAGTAAATGCTAGGGCATTCTTGAAGAAACAGGATATTTCTAGAAATACGTGGCGTGATACTAGTCACGTGACCTCGTTGACGCAACAGTATCTATTTCGCTTTTAAATTTACTAATGTTTTCCATTTGTACTTCTTGCCACTGTTGTTGACTTTCCTGTAGTTGCTGCTGACTTTCCTGCAACTGTTGGATACTTTCTTCCTGTTTCCTTTCTTATTCTAGTTGCCACTGCTGTAATCTCTCTTCTTGTTTATTTTCTCCTTTTTCTTGTTTTTTTCTTTTTCCTCCAACAACTGCTGTAATTTCTCTTCTTGTTTATTTTGCTGTTCGAGCTGCCACTGTTGCAGGTTTTCTTGCAACTGCTGTTGTCTCTCTTCTTGTTTATTTTGTTGTTCGAGCTGCCATTGTTGCAAGTTTTCTTGCAACTGCTGTTGTCTCTCTTCTTGTTTCTTTTGCTGTTTTTGTATTGCTGCGATCAAATCTGCTAAGTTGTAGATTGATTTGCCGCTTCTCGTTTCCATCTTCTCTTTTTCTTCTTCTTTTTTTTACTCCACTTCTGACACCAATTTGTTACGTCTCCGTTCGCTAGTTAATCTTCTGTTACGTCTCCGTTTGTTAATTAACTTTCCGTAACTTCGTTCCGACGAAACTTTAACGACACAAGTCTTTACTTAATAAAACTGGTTTATTCTTTCCGAATACAACTCTATGATACACTCAACTTCAACAATCGCGTTATAACAAACTATAATAACGAACGAACGTTAACTACAACAATACGTCTCTCTCTAACTGCAGTTCAATTACTCACTGACTACACAGACATTACATTCCCCTCTTTTATATACCAGCCTACCCTATATCTAGTAAGAACGTTGATAATACGTCAGTTTTCATTAAAATATTAATATTTAGATCTTTTACATTTCCGAAAACAAATCACTTTTATGAACTGAAAAAAATCCCTGATCTACTAGAATGCACACCTTACTCAATAACAAAGCGATTATAAACTCGAAATAATCGGTTTTTCATTCATCGAAGATTATCGGAAATACGCTTTGTAAAAAAACTAGGAAATATTGTAATAAAAATAGGCAGACAGTAAAATATGAGTACCATTATTTTACGTTTCTTGTTTTAGATAAAACTTTTTTTTTCTTCTGAACATGACAATCGATCTCTTGGAGATGTCAGTTATAAGTTAAACTGGTTGAACTTGCTTTGGTAAACTTCCTGCTATGCATGAGCAAACGGTCACGTGCAGCTTAAACTGTATAACGTTTCAAGTTCGTGTCAACGTTTTCATTTTACAGGGAAGAGTTTTACCTTGACGATTACAGTGAGTTCTGACCCCCCTGAAGTTGCAACATATAACAAGGCCATCAAAGTGACAGTGGACGGACCTCGAGAACCAAGAAGTAAGATTAGTAAGTTCTTGTTTAATTAAAAAACAACAATTTTCATTGTTTTCAAGATATTGTGAAGAGTCAGGCTGGAAAACTTTTTTTATCAATGTTTGACATGTGATTAAAAACATTGCTGTGCTGTTTTATTCTTTTAAAAGAGGTTTCAACTTAAGATAACCGCCTCTTCTTTTTAAAGCCTGATGCCGAACATGCTTTTCCTTTCAGCTGTGAGGGCTAATCCCGCTATTCGTTGCTAAAGAGTTGTTACACGCTGTGGTCTGCTGTTTACAATTAGGGACGACGGTAGACAGCCTTAGTAGTTTTGCTATAAATAAACAAAGTATTTTAAAAATCAGATTAAATGTATTATTATGTTGGAATTGTTTTGAAGTGGAATTTGATAATTGGAGAATTTATGAATTGTTTTTAGAGTAAAAACAATAGTGACTTTAGAAGACGTAACAAGGTATAGTATTGTTACGTCTCCGTTCGTTAGTTGATTTTCCGTAACTTCGTTCCGACGAAACTTTAGCGACACAAGTCCTGCTAATGGTATTGGTAAT